GCTGTTCTACAAGCATTATCATATTTTAATCTGTTAGCCTAGAAAGATAGCCAGACTCTATGAATCATTCTCATCCTTGGAATACATGAAATTTTGGATTGATCTTTATGCTTTTGTTTTTGCTTCAAGATTGTCATGGATTTTAAGCACCCAGATGGTGTCACAGTGCCAGTTTTGCTGCCTCGTCGGAGCCTGCTGGTGATGACGGGAGAATCTAGATACCTTTGGACCCACGGGTGTGTATTCAAATGACCTTGATGGCAGAATACCTTTTGCTTTATGAGACTTCTCATTCTTCTCTGTCTGAGCCACCGGAACTATGCCCTATGCCTGCACATTGAGGCTTCTGGGTTTAAACCTCCTAGGAGCATCTATGGCTTTTGTTTTTGAACATTATCTTTTTATTTTGAAAAACAAATTTAAAGCAAAGTTGCAAGCATAGTACAGTGAACTACCTTCACCTTTCACCAGCCTTTATGAATTGTGAACCTTTTGCTGTATCTTTTATTTCTCTGTCACATATGTTATTATTATTATTTTTGCTGAATCACTTGAGGGTAAGTTACAGACATCATGGCCCTTTACCTTAACATGCTTCATTGTGTATTTCCTAAGAACGAGGACTTTGTCTATGTCGGGAGTTGGCAGACTATGGCTAGTGGGCCGCATTCAGCCCTCGGCCTGTTTTTGTACAACTCTTGAGCTAAGAATGGTTTTTTACTTTTTTAAGGGTTGTAAAAACAATGAAGAATATTTGGCAGAGACTATATATGGCCCTCAGTGCCTAAAATATTTATTATTTGGCCCTTTATAGAAAAAGTTTGCCAACCCCTCTTCTACGAAACCACAGTGCAATCCTCAAATTCAGGAAATTCAACATTGATAAAATATTCTTTATGATTTTCTTATACAATCCATCTTGAGGTATTGCTGGTTGTATGTTAGAGTACTTTAAGCTTTCTGTCAGATTCAGTCCACGATCCTGCATTATGTTTACTTGTTAGTTCTGTTTAGTCTTTTGTTCCAAACAGTTCCTCAACTTTTCTTTGTTCTTTATGACTTGACTCTTTTGAGAAGGCCAGTTGTGTTGCAGAATGTCTCTCAATTTGAGTTCATTTGCATTAATTAAAATCTAAAGAAATGGGTTTGTGCTTTTGGTAGGAATTCATCTTTATTTAGCCTTTTGAGGACAGAGTATTACACTGCTAAAATTTATAAATATTGTCACTTAATTTACTGCTGAATTCTGTGCTTATTCATTCTTTCCTGCTTGAGATTTTAGCTTGCATGTTTTTATAAAAAAATTCATGGAAATGAACATGTAAATGAATTTGTCCTAAATGTGAGCCATAAAAAATGATGGCCTGATTTTGTGTACTGGGGCTTAAATTTATTTGATATTTTTTCATGGCCATTAAAGTATTTGTACTTAAAAATGGCGATGGGATCCATTGATTTCAAGTATTCTTGGACTTTTGAGAATAATCATATTTTCTTTTTGGGATTCAAGCAATTTTGCTATCATTAATGTTTACACTTCTTAAGAGTGATGGTATTGTAACTGAAACCTCTAGGGGGTTCCAACCTGGGTCCTGTTGCTCCCTGCACAAAAGGCCAATAAGGATTGCCAAGGAAGAAAGGAATTCTTAATGCAAATGATATCAGCTGGAAGAACAGGGAAAGTAGCCTCTAATCCGTCTCCTGACTGATGGAGAGTATGGGCTTTTAACATGGGGCTATGTGCCTTGGGGCAGGTCGTGTTGAAATTAAGGAGGGACTTTGTGCATTGGAGCAGGTTAGTGAGGGATTGTGAGTCTTTGTGTTAAGATGTCTGCCCAGGGGCCTTCAGCATCTCAACTCCTTTGTCTTGCAGAAATTCTGCCATTTCTGGAAGATAACTCAAAAGATAAAGTAGTTTGTTAAAAGTTACATGGTTCTGGTC